CCTTCCTGAGGAAGTGGCTTACCGCTGGGGCCTGAGGCCCAAGGGGATGGTGACTGGGCCTCGGCTGTGTCCCTAAGGGAAAAGCCGCAGGTGTGACAACGTCCAGGGGTTAGAAAGAGTTTGGCATGTGAGCAGGTGAATCCACAATGATGGAGCAGACCTGTGGGGAAAGTGGCCCGGAGCAAGCCAGAACGTGATCCTGCAGGTACCAGGGCTGAAGGAGGACCAGGGCTTTGTCCCAGGGCAGCTGGTGAACGTAGTGATGGGCTGTAAGCCAAGTGACATGAAACATCACTCTGGAATGGGGGAGGGTGGCCTCTGTCTGGGAGCCTGGGGCTGAGGCAGCTTCAGGGATGGACGTCCGTTGCTGGTGGCGATGAGAACCTGAGGGGTAGGAGCTGGTCTGGTCTGCACTGCTTTGTCCGATGTGAACACAGTAGTGTCATGAGAGACACTGGCCTGGGGCATGGTCCCAGCTGCTGCCCACACAGTGACCTGCAGGACCCTTTTATATGAGAAGAAAAAAAAAAAAAAACGTGGCTTTGTCTCCCTTTTTCAGGTCACCCTTTGGCCTTGCAATCCTTGCGCATGTGTGCTAAGGGCTTTGTTCAGCATTTGTTTATTGATACATCAGGTTGGATGGAGGATTATGCTTGTTTGTGTCCCTAAGACATCACACGGGGAATCATAAAAACACACTCCCGAATGGAGAACCACCTTAATATTGAGGTTTATCTAAAAAGCAAGAGGCTATGCCAGTGAGGAGGCAGGGTTCAGTGTGGGTTATCACAGGAGAGGGAGACAGGGAAGCTGGGTGTGCGCACACATGCAGCTGGCCCCAGCGCCCCAGCCCCAGCCCCGTGCTGCACTGGCCTTCCTCGGGAACGGGGAGCACTGTTTCCTGTGTGCTCTGCATCGCTCCTCCGAGACCCTCCCATTGGCTCCAGGAGGTTGAGTCACCGACCCCTGCACACAGCTGGGAAGTGGCAGGGGTTGGATCCCAGCTTCCTCTAACTCCACAGCTCTTTCCACTCTGCCTCACAGTGCTGTGCCCACCTCTCCACCTTCAGCAAGCCTGGAGAGGAAGAATAGTAGCGGTCTGCCCACCTGGGCCTTGTTTCCTGGGGTCTGGAGACCTGTTGAGGTGGGCATCCAGCCAGCGGCTTCCTGCCTTCCAGAGGCAATGAAGACCCATTTGCTGGGGGAAACTTCTTCCTTGGGAAGCACAGGAGGAGGCTGGCTGTGGGTGCTGTGCCCACCTCAGGGTGCATGTGGCTCTGCCTGGAATCAGCAGTAAGGCACGTGGTTCTCACTGGGTGCCCCAGCCCCCTACCTTAGGAGCGGACATGCTCTCACCTGTCACCAGGTGGCTCTGCCTGGACAGGCTGTGCAGGAGCTGGATTCGGAGCCAGTGGCTCTGAAGGTGGACTGGCCACGGTAGGATCAGGCTCTACCACTCACTAGCAGCCTGTCATTAAGCACAACATTTAATCTTTCTAAGCCTCCATTTCTTCGATGTAGGTGGGCCTGCCAGTCACCTACCTGCCAGGTCACTGTAAGGACTAAATGAGGTGATCAGCGTTATCACTTAGCATCGGCCCATCCCATGTTATGTGTGAGAGAAACATCTACTATCACTCTTGTTACAATCATGTTCGTTCCTATTTTTGACTGCGCCGCTGAGCAGTCATGTGTCCTGGGGGAATCACTTTTCCTCCCCAAGCTTCCATGTTTTCCTGTGAAATGACTGATGGTTGGCAGCATCACCTATAAGGATCCCTGTAGCTCTTACAGTTGGTGACTTCGGCTGGATCAGTTTCAGGTGGTGCCAAATCCCAAGGACACTCCTGGAATCTGGTTTCATCCACAGACTTTTCTTTTACAAGGTGGTTTCTAAACTTCAATATTCAGTCTCATTCCCAGGAGTGTCAGGGAATCTGGGCACGTTTAACTTCCATACACTAGGAATGAAATGACATTACTGATGATGTGCTGATGCCTTTGGCTGAGAAGTCTGCTTTTGTCCCCTGAACAAAAAACACTTCTCAGAGTCTTCTCAGCTCCTTTCTCAGCCAGAGAAGTAGCCAAGCAGTAACTCAGCCTTATCAGGAGGGAGACAAAGAGAAAGCCAGTGGCTTCAGGCATCTACCCATTTGATAAACTTCTAGCCAGTCATGGAATACTGGCTGCATCTTTTACAGCCCAGAGCTTCCCTGGGATTCCTCTTCCAGGATCTCCAGATCCTGGGAGCCAACAAAGGCAATAATGGAGATCTGTCTTAGTTTTCCAGAGCTTCCATAAAGTGCCACAGAGTGGGTGGCTTCAACAGCAGAATTTATCCTCTCACAGATCTGGAGACTGGAAGTCTGGTGTCTGCAGTGTCGATGCCTTCCGAGGGCCGTGAGGAAGCGTCTGCTCCATGCCTCTCTTCTGGCTTCTGGAGCTTTGCTGGCAGTCCTTGGTGTTCCTTGGCTTATCGATGCATACCCTGATCTCTGCCTCTGTCTTCACGTGGTGTTCCCCGTGTGTGTCTTCACATCGTCCTTCTGTGCACGTTTGTCTCGGTGTCCAGATTTCACCATTTTTTAAGGACACTAGTCATATTGGATTAGGGTCCTCCTGAATGATCTCATTTTAACTTGACTACCTCTGTAAAGGTATTTCCAAATAGGGTTACATTCCGAAGGAATTCTGAAGATTAGGACTTCATTATATATTTGGGGGAGAGGGGGATACCATTCAACCCATAATGAGACCCTTGGATTATTTTCATTACTTCCAAGTATATAAGAATTAAACATATCTTCAGGCCCCTGGGGTCCTGAAATGACAGTGGGAGCTGCAGGCCTCAGGCCCACCACGGAGTCGGAACCAAAAGCCCCAGAACCATAAGTCCCCGGGCCCTGAGATGGGGAGCCGAGGGCCTTAGTCCTGTTCCCCTCTCCGCCTCCCCCGGCAATATCTTAGGGTGTACTTGCTAGACACGGGTGTTTCCATGGGGTGTGTGACTTATCAAGTTTCTGCTTAGATTTTTCTAATCCATTTATAAGAGAACTTTTCTCATTAAGGATGTTAATGTTTGTGTTAAATTTGTTACCTATCGATTGACATTAATTTTTTTTTAAAAAATAGAAGCTTAGGTAGAAGTTTTGAGGCACAAATAGAGATGTTTGATTATTTTGTTTTGGGTTTCACATCTTAAGATAGGAACTTGCTTTATAAAGTTTACAAAGATGAAATTAGTGATTTAGTAGTTCTATAGGTGTGCAGTCGAGCCAGGCATCCATAATTAACGATAATTTACTGCATGTTATCAAATGGCTAGAAGAGAGG